TTGAGTGCAATCCCACAAAATGTCTTCTGAAAATCCTAATTTCTATCCTGTATGTGTGATGTGATTTATTGTCAGGTTATAAGGTTTCAAGGTGGATCTCAGAACAGAGAGTGTTGAGAGTGGCTTGTGTTCATGGTGAAAGCCTTTTGAAACCAAGTTTGTTTTTTGTTTGAGGAAAAAGGCTGGTTAGAAGTAAAGCAATACGAATGGTGTGGTTAGAGGATCAAATGGTGGTCTTGTTGAAGTAGACAAGGAGACTAAAGGCTGTGACAGTAATAAGAATCCACTGAAGAATTTGTATGAATTTTCAAAGATAAGAAAACAAAAACTTGAAGTATTTACTGTATAGCTGTTGAACATTCATGAAATGTTGATCTGCTGTGACATGTTGTGTGCCAATACTGAAAATGTATGAACGTTGTGAGTTTATAGCTAGTTAGTGGTGAAAGAATACAAATCCAGTTGCATCTTTTCATCTGGATCCTATTCCTTTCTACCGTTTCACCTAGAAAAGAGTAAAACCATCATGTCTCTATCATGTTTTACTTTAAGAAATAATATGTAGATCATTATTTGGCCCAAAGTTGTTACTGGCATACTTTTTTTGTTTTGTATCAAACTTTCAGTAATATTTTTTTCATCTCACCAACTTGTTCAAAAGCTGACCCAGGCATACAATCAGTACTACAGTAGCATTTCATATTTCAAGTTTATTCATAGCTTGCTTTGCTGAGTTTTAGTATTCTTCTTAAGGTGTAAAATTTTGTGCTTATTGCATTGCATCATTGATGAGCTAGATCTGAGATTTTGTAATATTGTAAGCAAAATCTGCTGTGAATTCTGTAGCTTCAGATGTATTATGATTAAATCCTATTTACTCTCTTTTTGTATTTTGTTATAGATTGGCATTACCATCAGATTCCACATGACAAAATGTGATGACATATTTTCTTTCTTCATCAAGTTTGCAAGCAATAACATTAGGACATAGAGCTCAGGCTCTAATAGGGATGACTAAAACTGGAATGGAAACTAGATCACAATTTCCACACTTAATAAGGCAGTAATCAGCTGTTGCCATGGGACAGAGCTGGTTGAATTGTCGTAACTATTCTATAGGCATAAATCTTAGACTTGCACCAGATGCTTCACACTGTTCCTGCTGTGCAAAACAGCTGGAAATTCAGCTTATAGGATTTCTTTCTTAGAGAGAGACAATGGGTGGCATAGAGCTGAGAAAACCTGAAATTGATGGGAAGCTACATCCCAGATACTGCATCACTGCTGTGGCTTTAGGATGTGTACCTGATCCTTGGGTTTGTATCATGATAGGTAAAATTGCAGTTCAAGGCTTGGGAAGCAGTCTTACAAATGGAAGTAAGGAGGTGAAGCTAGTTGGTTTCCTTTTTTATGAAGGTGCTTTGCCACAGTAATTTTTGCTTTGCTCTCTTCTTCAGTTTTCCACGAGTATTTTTCTTTTCCCTGGAGATGCAGTTTTGGGGTAACATTTTGCCTAGTAGTATAATAAGTTAAGACTTTCCACACCTTTTTAACGAGCTTTGAGAAATTGTACTAATGTCAAATGCAGATGAATCTGCTTATTTTACATTCCGTTGGGAAAGATTAATTTGAAAAATAGCAATTATGTGGTGCAGACCCATCTAGATGATGAATTAGTTCTCCAATGGAGATGAACTCTTGCAGAGTAATTTTTCTGTAGAAGGAATAGATATGGTTAAAACACATTGGAAAATTCTTGCAATGATACCTCTGTGAGTAAAATTGTTGCTAAGCCAAGGCTGTCAATGAGAATATTTCATGCAATAAGAAGTTTGTATTAAAAATGCAAAACATGACAGTTCCCACTAATTTCTCATGTAGTACTTTATTATTTGTTAAATAACAAACATTTTGCTAGGCCATTTTGAGTACGAAGCTTGTTCTAAGCTTAACGGTTGAGAAACATATGTACTGCAAGATGTCTTCTGCAGAGGGTCTGAGCTGAGTAAAACAGAAATAGCACCATCATGGAGGCTTTGTTTACACCCAAGAGTTTAACTGTTCCTGTAGCTAAAGCAATATAACTGAACGAGCAATGGTGAATGTGTTTATGGGAACGGGAATAAATTACACTGCTGGAAGCTGTATTTAGTAACTGCAATAAGGTTGTACAGAGGAGCTGCATTGCCAGAAGGAAGAATCACTTCCCTCACTGGAATAATCATGTTGTACTTCTATGTGAGGGCCATGCCTAAATTAATTCCAGTTGCATTTCTGGGTTCTTACATGAGAAAGCTGCTTCAATAAAAGCTTTCTTTGGCTTTGGGAGGATTTGACACTGAGAGGTGTTGAACATCTGCATAGTCACTGAAGTCTGTGCTGTTTAAGGTGCTGTAAGTCATCACGGTCTTATGTTTGTGGCTTGGCTCTAAATCTTGTTAAAACTCAGTGGGAAAATGCTTGGGTGGCTGGAGGGCAGAAACCCTTGGAGACCTTTGTTTGCCTGGTATATCTTGTTCTCTGACAAATCAGGTGTGCAGGCAGTAGGAAGCAGTTTATCCTGAGAGTAGAAAAATGTGCTGAGGGGTGACTATGTGTGACAATCACAGAGGCGAGCTGAGATAAAAATCCAAGTTTTGTTTTTTTCAGAAGTTTTATTTCCACTTTTTGCTTCCATGGTCCACACGTAACTAACACAAGATGACAAGCTGAAGGAAAGAACTAC